ACACTTTTAAACAACAAAAAGTAAAAACAAAACAAAACAAAAAAGTTCAGATGGATGAGATAAATGTGCAAAAAGTTAAAAAGCTATGTTCATTTTATCACCTCTGGTGATGAGTATACTATCTTAGTATACTCTGTCCAGGCTGCTACTAGGTGTCTCACAAACACAGTTATTGCCCACAGTCCTGGAGGAGAGGGAGGTCTAGACCAAGACATTAGCAGGTCCCGTGTCTGGTGAAGTTCTGCTTTCTGATTTATAGATGGCTCCTTTGTGGTGTGTTTGCGCGTGGTGGGTAGAAGGGCAAAGGAACCTCTGGGGGTCACTTTCACATGGGCACTAATTTCATTCATAATGGCTCTTTCTCTGTGACCTAAGCATCTCCAAGAGTTCCCACCTACCAGTGCCATCACCCTGGGGAGGGGATTTCAACATATGTGTTTTGGGGGTATACAAACATTCAGACAATTAAAATAATCTCTGTTCAAATTGAGGTACTTGCAAAAAAAATTAGGTACTTGCTTTTGGAATACAATAATATCCAGCATAGAGCAAGGTAAAATTTACTATGTCTACCATTCAATTAAAAGAGTGATGCAATGTGCAAAGCAGGAAATTAAGAACAATCAATCCTGACTCAGAAATTATATGGTTCATAAGATTAGTAATAAGCACATTAAAACAGTCACTGTAGCTTTTTTTCCGTACACAGACTGGTCAAAATATCCAGTGGATGTTTACATTAAAACTTTACCACAGTAAAAGGCACACTGCCATTAACCCCTTAAAAATACTCCCCCACACCTAGAACACATTTATCCCACTGTCCTTGCTACTTTCCGAAGCAGTTCCGGAAGTCCTCTTTTGTGAGTGTTCTTATAAGGGGTCTGATTTTTTAAAAATACGTGAATGCTGCTACCCAGTGCCATCCAACAGAAAGGCAAGCTCATAAAAACATTATGGTGTGTCCTTGTTCACCTTATTTGCTGCATCTAGTACCATGTGACTTCCAGCTCTTCCTCAAAGTCAAAATGACCATGAAAGGTAAACATTTTGACTTATCCAGAACATTGAAACAGCCATGACAGTACAAAGACACTCACCAAGGACTTCCACAACTGCTTCAGAAAATGGTAAGAACAATGGGGCAAGTGTGTTGGAAGCAAAAGGGAATACTTTAAGGGGGACTAATGGTAATGTATATTTTACTGTAATAAACTTGAAAAATTTAAATATCTATCATATTTTTGATCACAACTTGTATTCTAGAAGCTACAGGAAAAACTGGACATTTTTACCAGACACATGAATGATATTTTAAAAATAAAAACCAGCCAATTTGAAGTTCTTGAGATGAAAATTGCAATCAGAGATTAAAATACATTATATGTGGCCTAGGAGTGTAGCTTAGTGATAGAGCACTTGCCTAGCAAGTTGCAGGGTCCTAGGATCTATCCCCAGTACCACAGAGACAAATAAACAAACATCAGATGAGATTCATGGCAGGTTAGACAACAGAGACTAGGGAATTTGATGATACAGTAGTAGAAATGATCCAAAATTTAAAAACCACAAACTTTTAAACAAGAACCATGGGGCAATTTCAAGTGGCAAAATATACATGAAACTCCAAAATCACAATGAAATACTACTTCATACTTACAAGGGTAGCCATAAGGAAATACTTATGGAAAATGTATGGTATTAAGTGCCTATATTTTAAAATGTCCCAAAGATATTACAAGAAAAGAAAACTATAAGGCTACGGGTATAACTCAGCAGTATAGCGCTTGCTTAGCATATGTGAGCTCTGGATTTGAGCACTGCACAGGGGAGGGAGGAAGGAAGGAGGGAGGAAGGGAGGGAGGGAAGGAAGGAAGGAAGGAAGGAAGGAAGGAAGGAAGGAAGGAAGGAAGGAAGGAAGGAGGGATATTCCAGACCCATATAGCTTGGGAAAATAGATGCAAAACTCTTCATGAAATTTTAATAAATTGATTTAAGCATATATAAAAAGGTAAATATATCATGACCAAGTGGGGTTTATCTCAGAAGCACAAGATTGTTTTGACATTTAAAAAACAATCAACCAAAGTAATAAACTAAAAAAGAAGATCATACATCTCAATGGATACAGAAAAAAAGTATTTCACAACATCAAACATACATTTCTGATAGAAACTCTTAGAATATTAGGAATGAATAAAAGCATCCTCAGTCTGATAAAGGGCATCTATGAAAAAGTCTTCAGTGAAAATCATATTTAATGATGAAAGGATAAAATTTCCATCTTATTATCACAAAAAAGGCAAGGATGTCCACTTATCACTTGCATTCAGCATTGTTCTAGCCAGTACAATACGACTAGTTATAATAGGCACTCAAATTGGGAAAGAAGAATTAAGACTGCTTTATTGACTGTTACCATGATCATCTGTGAAGACAATCCTATGGAATCTTTTTTTAAAAAAAGCTATAGAATTAATAAATGAGGTTTTTATTTTTTTGGTATGGTGGGGTCCTTGCGCCTGTGCAGCAGGTGGCGAAACCACTGAGCTAAATCCCTGGCCCCTAATAAGTGAGTTTTATCAAGGCTTTAGAATGTAAGATCAATATACAAAAATCAATGATATTTTTATGTACTAGCAATGAACTATGAAAAATAGAGCCTTAAAAATTACCACGAGAAGTGAGGTGTAGTGGTGTACACCTAAAATTTCAGCATTCTGGAAGGCTGAAGTAGAAGGATCACAAATTTGAGCCCAGCCTGGGCAATTTAGGGATTTAGCAAGACTGTCTCAAAATGAAAAGGGCTTGGGTTTAATCCTCACTACTGCAAACAAAAACAACAACAACAAAGTCAAACAAACAAAAAATAACAGTCTTGTAAAAATATGAAATAATTAAAAATAAATCTGACTGAAACTTACAAGGCTCTATGCTAAAATATTACTAATAAAAATTAAAAATCTAAAAAAATGGAAAGCTATATCATCTTCATAGTACAGATTCAAAGATTCAATATGGTTAAGACTTTTTCCCTAGAATTGATCCACAGATTACATTCAATTCCAGTCAAAGTCTCATAATGATTTTTTGGTATGAACGGACAAACCAACTCTACTTTGAAAATTTGTATGGAAATGCAAGGACCTAGAATAGCAAAAACAATTTTGAAAAGGAAAAAAAGTCAGAGAAGTTACATTCGCTAACCATAACTCTTTTTTTTTTTTTTTTGGTACTGGGGATCAAACTTGCGCTTGTGAGGCAGGCGCTGGAACCACTGAGCTAAATCCCAGCCCTAACCATAACTCTTATAAAGCTGTGGTAATCAAAACAGTGTAGTACTGGTGTAAAGATAAACAAATTCACAGAAAAGAAAGTCCAAGAAGTGGCCCACACGTACGTGGTTAATTGGTTTTTGACAAAGATGCAAAGACAGTTCAGTAGAGGAAGAATTTTTTTTCTGCAAATATTCCTGGAGCAAGTGGGTGTACATGTCCAAATGGATAGGCTACAATCTATACCTCATTGCATATACCAAAATTAAAATGAATTACAAGGCCTAAATGTTAAACCTAAAACTTTAAAAGTTCTACCAAAAAAAAAGGAGAAAAATCTTTGTCACATGCTATATTGGGCCAAACAGTGTCTTTCCACAAAATCATGTTCCTCCTGGAACCTTAGAGCAAGACCTTACTTGGAAATAGGGCCATTGCACATGTAATCTGTTAAATTAAAATGAGATCATACTGATGCAGGGTAGGTCCTTCATACAATATGGCTGGAGTCCTTCTAAGAAGAGACACGTGCTAGGCATGGTGACACATGCCTGTAATCTCAATGCTTGGGAGTCTCAGGCAGGAGGATGGTGAGTTTGAGGCCAACTAAGGCTACACAGTGAGTTCAAGGCCAGCCTATACTACATAGTGAGACACCGGGGAGGGGGACATCATTTGGAGGCACATGGATTGGGCTAATGAGTCTACAAACCAAGGATTTCCAGTAGCCACCAGAAGCTAGGAGAGAGTTATAGAATAGATTCTCCTTGGGAGGCTCTAACTGTGAGAGGGTAAATTTCTGTTGTTTTCAGCCACCGACTTTGCAATACTTTGTTAGGGCAGTCTTAGGAAACCCTTGGGCTAGGAAAAGAGTTCTTAGCTACAATATCAAATGCACATAAAAATAAATTGACACATTGGCAAAATGGCCATATTAACAAAATAGATATAAAGATTTAATGTAGTCCCAATCAAAATACCAGTAGCATTCTGCACGGAACAAGAAAAAACAATCCTAAAATTTATATACAACCAGAAGAGACCCTGAATAGCAAAGCAATCCTGGGCAACAAGTGCAAAGCAGGGTGACTCACAATCCCAGGTCTCAAGCTATATTACAAAGGTACAGTGATAAAAACAGCATGGCGAGCCAGATGCAGTGGCAGACGCCTGTATTCTCAGCACTTGGGAGGCTGAGGCAGCAGGATTGCTGTGAGCTGGAGGTCAGCCTGGGCTGCATAGTGAATTCAAGGACAATCTTGAATATGTAGTGAGACTCTATCTCAAAAAAACCCCCCCAAAACCCAAAAAACCCACTCAGCATGGTACAGGTACAAAAATAGATATGTAAATCAATAGAACAGAATAGAGGATGCAAAAATGACTCTAGGCAGACCCAGACATCTGATTTTTAATAAAGGGCCAAGAACATACACTAAAGAAAAGATACCCTCTTTAAAACATGGTGACAGAAGTCCTGTCTTCCGATCTGGAAAATTGACCGACAAGAAGTTTTTTGTGGCACCATTTTCTTTCTGCTGCTGCTCGTTACGACATTGGAAGCCAAATCTTGATCTTTCTGAGGAGAGGACCTGGGCTTTATTGTCTCTTCCAGAGCTAGGAATCAAACCCAAGACCTTGAACACACCCAGGAGGTTCTCCACTGGCCTGAGAGCAATGAAATAGAACAGTACCTGCAATCAACTCCAGTCCTACCAAGCCTTCATGATGTTTCCCTTGGCCAAATGGGCACTGCTTAATGGTCTCAAGAGGCAAACCATTCAGTGTTGCAGCAAGACAAACCCATATGAAATACCAAATTTTCATGACAAATATGGCAATACTGTGCTAGCTAGTGGAGCCATTTTCTGTGTTGTTACATGGGTGTTTTTAACTACACAGGTGGGAATACTATGGAACCCATCTCCTGTTGCCCAAGCCACCCCAAAAGAGTGGAAAAATAAATAATTATCACTATTACTATAATACAAAATTGTTTCAAACCCAACTTGTTATGTACACACTCGAGAAGAGTTCTTTTTTTTTTGGTACTGGGGATCGAACTCAGGTCCTTGTGCTTGAGCAACAGGCAGCGAAACCACTGAGCTAAATCCCCAGCCCTATGTATACACTTTACTGCTCATTTAAAAATAGCACGACTGAAGAAATAAAATATATTTGAAATCATAAAAAAAAACATGGTGGTAGAAAAACTGGTTATATGTGAGAAGGTTGAATCTAGACCCATGTCTCTCACCGTGCACTAAAATAATATCTAAATGGATCAAAGACCTAAATATTAAAGCAAAAACAGTTAATCTGTGGGAAAAGAAAATAGAGAAAGCTTTTGAAGACACAGGCATAGACAAGAACTTTCTGAACAGAACCCCAATTGACAAGAAATAACAAGAATCAACAAATGGGATCACATCAAATTGAAAAGCTCCTGCACAGCAAAGAAAACAGGCATCAGAGTGAAGCAACAACCTAAGAATGAGAAAAAGTTTTGCCAGCTACTCCTCAGGCAGAGGACTAGTAAGGACTAGTATCTAGAATATATAAAGAACTCAGAAAAATTAGGCACCCCCCCCCAAATAAAAGACCCACTAAAAAAATGGGCAATTGAACTGAATAAACACATCTCAGAAGAAGAAATACAAATGGCCCATAAGTACATAAAAATGATTTTTTTAAAAAAAGATTAACATCATTGGCCATTAGAGAAATGCAAGTTAAAACAACACTGAGACTCCGTCTTACTCCAGAGAGAGTAGCCATCCCCAGGCCCTGAAATATGACAAATGCTGGTGAGGCTGCAGAGAAAAAGTAACCCTTCTGCATTGTTGGGAGGAGTGCAAACTGGTACCACCACTATAGAAATCAATATGGAATGTTCCCAAAAAACTAAAATAAGAAATTCCACCAGACCTAGCTATTCCCTTTCTAGATATCCTCCTGAAAGAGTTAAAGACATCATGTTACAGTAATACATACACACTCTTTTTTACAGCAGCACAGTTCACAATTGGTAATCTTGGAAGCAGCCTATATGTCCATCAACAAATGAATAAAGAAAATGTGGTGTTTATACACAATGGTATAAATACTCAGCCATAAAGAAGGATAAAATTGAGTCATTTGTCAGAAAATGGATGCACCTTGAAACTATAATGCTTAGTGGAATAAATCAGACACAGAAGCTTAAATATCACATAGTTTCTCTTCTATGAGACAACCAAGATATAAATAATTCAAAGAGTAAAATAAAAGATAGGTAAAAAGAAACAGGGAGATAGACCTTTTGCAAATGGGAAGGGGATGGAGGGGGAGGGGAAATAAAAAAGATTAAGATGCAATCTGTACATGTACTAACTCTTCAAGATGAATGGATTTGTTATGTATCAAAAACGTGTACTAATAAACACACTAAGGAATTAAAAGACAAAAAATAATTTGACAAATTGGTCTTCATGAAAATTTAGAATTTTGGCTGTTTGAAAGATATTCTTAGAGAAGAAACAATAAACCACGGATTAGCTTTTGCAGCAACACTTGCAAATCACATACTTGATAAAGGACCTGTATCCAGAATGTGTAAAGAACTCTCATAATACAAAAAGAAAATACAAACTCCAATTTTAAAAAGGATTTGAACAGCCTTACTAAAGAAGAAATTTGGGTGGCAAATGTGACCATTAATCCCGCTATGTCAACTTCAATGGATTAAGAATTGCCTAGGAGATGAATAAAGCATGCCCGTGGGTATGTCTTGGTGAGTCATGGAGGCATGAGCTTGGGCACCACATATGGTCCCTCACCCATTCTTCTCTGGTACTGTTTCCCTGCTCTGCTTCCCAACCACCATGAACTGAGCAGCTTTGCTCCTCCACGTCCTTCCCCCTTGATGTTTGTGCCTTGGAGTCAGCCAATCATAGACTGAAAATATGATCCAATTAAACTTTTCCATCTTTAAATTATGGGTGTCAGGTATTGCATCTAGTATTGGGAAAGCTGGCTAACACAGCAAATGCTGCACATGGAAATATGTTCAACATCATTAACACCAGGGGAATGCAAATTTAAACCTCAGTATGATTCCAATATACACTCATTGCAATGTTCAAAGTTAAATACAATGACCACATTGCTATGATCTGAATTTTTATGCTACCACAAACTTCATATGTTGAAAACCTAATCACCAATGTGTTGGCAGATGAGATGATTAAGTCTTGAGAGCAGAGCCTTCATGAATAGGATTGTGCCTGTATCTATCAGCTTTTCCATCACTGGGACAAAATACCTGACACCCATAACTTGAAGGAAGAGAGGTTTATTTTGGCTCACATTTCTGAGAATTCAGTTCATAGCTGGTTGGCTCCGAGGGATGGATGTCATGGAAGAGGGCTATGACAAAAGAAAGCTACTCAACCCATGGCAGCCAGAAAGCAGAGACAGGAAGAAGGAGCCAGGAACAAAAACATGGTGGTTCAGGCCACCGCTTGTTTTTTTTGTTTTGTTTTGTTCCCCCCCCCAGTTAAGTTTATGGGTACATTTTAGGTATAAAATACACTTACATTCATCATTGAGATCTTGTACCATTACATGAGTATCTTGCTTCTTATTTTTTTTCCCCTTCCCCTGCCCTCCCTTCACCCCCTCCACCCTTCCCTATTTGCAAAGATTGTTTCCATTGCTTTCCTTTTCTCATTTTTTTCCCTTCTTTCCTTTCCCCTACTTCTCCCACTTCCCCTGCTCCTTTAGACCTTTACTTCCTGTTACACAGTATCAATTATACATTTTTAAAATTACAATATCAAGACCTAGGAGACATTACCACAGATTTTACAGAATTTAAAAGGATATAGAATGCATATTTCAAAAATCTGTTTTGAAATAAATTTGACAACTTCTAAGAAGTACCTTGGAAAACAACGAAACTAACTCTGGAAGAAATATAAAATTTGAAT